TGACAGCGTGACAGTTCTCATTATTGACTACTAGTTAATAATGTCCACATTATTAACCACTTTGAACAAATGCTGAGAAAGTCTACTTTACAAGTGGAAAAACAAAGCAACAAAGAAATCTTATAGAACCATTTTGAAGGAGATGAAGAAATTTTTAAAATGGCCACCGGTCCCTTACATAAATACTCAAGCGAGGTGGATATAACAACAAGTAAAAAGGTTTTCGCCCTAAGGAGAGTAACTCAGCGCATTTTCCATGAATTACTTGATGAAGTACTTTCCAAAAGTCCGTAGCTATGTGCGCTGTGTTTTTCTTTACTAGAGGCATCTATGGTTAAACTTTCAAAGGAATAGTAGAAATCGTAGTTAAGGCCTCGGACGGACGGACAGATGGACGGACCGACGGGCGCGCGAAAAGATAGACAAACGGACGGACAAACGGACGGACGGGCGGATGAACAGAGAAAGTGACTGCAATAGCGCAGGAAATGGGCTAAAAATGACCATTTATGACGTAAAAAGCAACGAAAACACTCCCTTGATAATCCCCACTTGAAATTAGTCTTTATCAATTTAAAATTTATTTTATTTGTGTACGATAAGTTGGGATTAAAAACTTAAATGCAGATGGATACATAGGTTAGTAAGGGTTGCAATGGATGATATTTAAAAATAAAGTTGCAATAAAATATGAAAATGAATTAGATTATATTGAAATACTAAAATTAATTATATACCACTGTAAATTAATATTTTTTTATTTAACATAGCATGCGATGGCGTTTAAGGGTGAAATATCGAACTTACTTTACCTAATCAAAGACTATCCTCCTTAGTCTTTGCTTTAACTTTATTTCGATCTGTTATAAACTTTAATTTGCAATGCTATAAGTTTTAACAATAAGAAGTAATTTCTACAGGTAAAGAGTAATAAGTGACTATTGGCAAAAGTTAGGCTAGGAGTTTTCATGCAAATCAATGCACATTTAAACAATTTATTCGGAGGTTGCTTGCTATTTTTACCGTCATATCCTGAATTACTTGCAACAATTACACATTCCACACAGTTACCGTTGGGACCAGAATAAAATTTATTTGCACAATCCAAAACATTCTTTTTTTAGAAAATCTGCGACCTACCGCCGTACATTTTTCTATAAATTGTAACCGCGCTCAATAAAACATGGACAATCATTAAATCACTTTAAAATAAAAATTTGGCATTTTGTATGGGAGACCGTTATTAAGCGCCAGAGCAAAGCAGGGGACTGTATGGTGTCCGTCTGGGGTCTGGGTCAAATCCAATGACCCCGCAGGGTAACATCGAGGTACTCTGCGGCTTTTTTATATGATCTTTAGTGGTTTATTTATAATGAGAACAAATACTTGGTTGCATGTACAAGTATCATATTCCAGTGAAAGTATGTTAAATGACATAAATCTTAAGAAGTACCTAATACAGCTGTACATTGTTTCTTACAAAAATAAAAATCTTGGTCTAAAAAACATATGCGTATTCCGTGGGAAATGCAGTGCACAGTGTGGATCTGTGTAGGGGAAGATTATTTCCGTACACTTTAGGTGCTACACTGATAACATACAGACTAGGTACGTCAAAAGAGTTTGGGTTGCAGCAGGGGTTGTCCCTTGTTTAGTGTTTAGTAAATGACAAAAACACAATACAAATGGTTTGTTTCCTCACAACTATTGTATTATGTGAGCTCCGAAGTTCCTACCTGAAGTTATGACCGCACAGTACATTTATTATGTTGACCAGCTTTGCTGAACACCCGGTATCGGGTTTGTCGCTTCGTTACGAAAGAGTTCTCGAATTTAATTATTTGACTAAGGAGTCTGTGTCATTTTTGTGTAATTGATTATTGTACCGCCGCTAAGTACGTATGTTTTTCCGACCGTTCCGGTAGGAATATTTAAACTATTCCTACAGTCACCGGAAGCTCTCGTGTAAGAGAAGAAGAGAGATAATTAATATTTTGATATTTCAACGCCCATTTTAGACACCCAGAATAAGCCACAACCAGGATAAAACGGGCTGACAGTGTCCAGAATTGTATCAAAATGAGCACACTTAAAACGACGGGAAGTCCGTTCCGATATCCATCTTATATTTTTCCGATAACTACAGGCCTAATAATAATTAAAAACCGAATTAATTGGCACCGCTTTAGTACTGAATACAGCGAGGAACTGAAAATTCTCTATTCCACTTCCAAAATTCGGATTTCTTTATTATGTAAACCCTGGATTTTGTGGGGATATTTTGCATTTTGTAATTGCGGTAAGTTTCATCTTTTATCATTTCGTACTTACCGTAAGTAAGTCTATTATCTTTTGTCATTTTTTATTCTTGCCGTAAGTAACTTAACTTATTGAGTAAATTTTAGGGAAACCGTACAGTCGTTTAATCTTTTACCATTTTGCGTGTCGTAAGTTGCATTTTTCACTGTTAAGTTTTGTAAGTACCAATTATGAATTTGTTTTTCCACCGCATCCGTCGATTTGTGCTTTATTGCTTTCCCTCCCGATAGGGAGTCTGCCATAATTTTGTTTCAGTTTTGCCAAAGTGACCGCCGCCATCTGTTGGACCCGTAGAATTGTTGGAGCTGCCGTTTCTCCGGTTGAGTTTACCCCAGGGCCCAGATGCTACCGAGACCGACCCGTCCGTGGCTACCGCCGACCAGGCGCGAGATTTACGCTTGGTGGCGCTCGAGTTCGTCCGTTCCTGCCGTTCCCTGTCGCCATTTGCCGCCGACTCTCGCTACTATGTTTCATTTGTTTATTTATTTGTTTAATTAAATGCAATTACGAGTATTCTTCCACTAATAGTTATTTAATTTCTCAAGCTCACCCACTGTGCGCGAGCGGGCGAGACCAAACACCGTCGCACAATTTAACACCGTACAAGGGAGTAAGAATGAGAAAAAAGTTGCCATTAAAAAAAATTCAAGATGGCGGCCGCACTCAAACACCATGTGTCAAAAAAAATTTTAACCTCAAAATATGTGAAATAATGTTAAATGGAAGCGTTCTAATGTTTGGTGCCATCTTATAGCCGATCCTGTACATAAATAGACAATTATTTTTCTGGGTTGGGGTGCATATGCCAAATGATAAACAGTTAGATATTTGTATTTCACATGTTATCATTTTCAATGTCGCCGATTATTACCAGAATTGTTAAATCTGTGAATCTGTTTTAACTACTTTTGTCATTAGTTGTAGTAGAGCTACTTTTGATTTGGCTACTAATATTTATTTCCCTTTGTATCTTAATGAAATAATAATATTTACATTAACACTTATAGGGTACAAATCTTTATATTATTTTGGACATGTGTTGTCAGAGGTGGGAAAAAGAAAAGGAAATTGAGATCATTTTCAAAAATGGTAACTGTGTAACATGGTTTCCTATAAAACGGCGCGAGAGGAATGCCGAATTAGGAAAAAAAATTAAAATAATGAACTACAGAATTGTATCATGACTCATGAGTACTGTGGCGCAAATTAGTATCAATTAAAAGTACAGGCATTCAAAAGAACAACATATCCTCATTTAAAAATCAATATAATTATTATTACATTATTAATATTATTTTCTTCCTCATATCTGCGTGATTCTCAGGCACTTCAGAAACATTAATAATTGTGTTGCGCATTTTGACTCTCAACGTACAAGAGGCTACTATCCGTCGCATTGAAATTATGTTCTACAACTGCAAGCAATGTTATCTTTATTTTTACACTAATTTGCTTTAAATTAAAGTAAGATACTGAGAATCACTTGCAGTAGGTAATAAGATTTATAAATTGTTTATGGTCAGCCCAAAAATTTGTTTACAAATCTAAATTTATAGCGCCTATAATTTTTTATGGGTCAAAATTTTATATTTGGATTTTGACAAAGCGTTTGGAACGGTAGGTATAAAAAAAATAAAAAGTTAAAGTTGATTTTATTTTCTTTGAGTAAATCTAAAGTTAGAAATCGAGTATTGAATATGCAAAGGCAGTAAAAGATTTATATTCTAAGATATTTCAATCAAACGACAAAGGAATTTTACTCCTCGCCATAAAAGAAGTTCCCTCAAGCATAAAGTTACTCTACATGTTGCGACAGTAAAAAAGACTATAAAAATTCGATGTGCATTTACATCACTTTTCTTTCTTGGTTTGGTTCGCAACATTTCACTCCGAAAACTTCATATATAGTAAATTTCTGTTTTACAATGTACACAAGTTTAACTAAATGTGACACTTTTTCTCCGAAAGTTATCTTTAACCAATGAGTTATTCTGCGGCAAATCCCGCTCTGTTTTTTTCAAGTTCGGCAAGCAATGCGAGAGGAAACGTCACGTATTTAGACAGCTTTCGCCCTCAATTACGATTTCAATCCTTCAGGAGTGCGCGGGTCTAGGGAATCCTGATACAATACATAATAACAGCATCGTACATTAACCGAAGGTACCCCTCCGCATGCTCTGCCGAAAGACCGACAACTTTAAAATTCCTCACGTATAAAGAGGAAGAGGAAAAATCAAAACGAATAAACGCCTAGTCGGAGGAGCGCGCTCGCCGAACCCTGCAAACTAGATTATTCACAATAAACTTTCGCTGCTATTAAATTATTTAATTTCGGTTCTGGTGGGGGTTGAAGTGTAGTGGATAAGGTCGAGGTGTAACCTTGTTAGCGAGAGCACAACTGAGTTATGGTCTTATAATGCCCGGAATGAGAAAAAGAAGCGCTGCTGAGCTTTGGCATTCGCCAGTCGCTTTCCAGCGGGCGGTCGAGATGCTTTTGAGGTACCCGTCTTCATCTTAATCAACATCTGTCAATTAAAACGGTTATTACAACAACCCTTCAATACGGTTTTGCTCTCGAATCGATAACAGCGTGCTTCTCACGCGCGACTCGAAAACTTGTGATGTTTATGTTGAGGAATGTGCAAGAAGTTCGGTCACGGGAAGGTATTAATGGTACTCACTTTGTAAATTCATGGTTGACGGAAACATGGCAGCTCGATGGTGAACGTCCTGAACGTGCGGTCTTCCACCCATAACGGCACATTGCGATCCAGTGGAGCCAGGGTGATGTACCATTGCGCCAGCTCCTGCCGTTGCTGGATTGTAAGTTCGAGCCATTGACGCCGCTGCAGCAGTATATCTGTAGGCCGCTTGTGACATTTGACTACACGAGGTAAGATCTCCATACGAGCAAGGCATATTTCCCAATCCCGTTGGATCCATAGCGGACGCCTGCAAGCAGCTCGAATCAAAGCCGGCGGCGGCGGCCTGATTCAAATACGAATAGTCCATAATGTAAATCTTGTCGACGTTCTTCACTGCACTAACAATCCGCCTTCGATTTAATTTCCATAAATATTTATAGTGGTTACAAAGTAGTATTATCGAAGTTCACAACAACTTGTGGATATATTCGTAAAGTTATATAAATGATGTTTTTGAGAAGAAGGAGCGAAGCTAATAATCCGGCTAAGACATGGATTCGCTAGTCGAATTTGACGGCCGGCTTAAAGAGTAATTGAATCAGAGGCTGATATCAAATTATGGCGATTACGGATAATATTGGCGCGGGTTTTTTAAGAGCAGCGGCAGATTCGCGCGTGAAGACCCGACTGTCTGCTTGCGCCGAAATCAAATGATAAGCTTAATTCAATAACGTGCCAGAAACCTCCACTGTTCGGGGTGGAAACGAAAAACTCGGGGATGAGGGGGCGACGGCGCTTCAGTTTGTGCGGGTGCAGGAGGGTGAGATTTAGCAAGGGATGCTGTAAGCACAGGCGGGGCGACCCTCCATGGTTCCAACGTTCGCCAATCAAAAATTCGCGCGCTCGGGGTTGATCGCAGTCATTGGAGCTAAAGATGACGTCACTCATCCCCGTCCACGCGACTTCTCTGGTGACACACACATGAAGTTGAGGAATATTAAAATGCACGTATTTTAAATTAAATTTGTATTCAGAAAAGCTGATCTGTTTCCCTCGATTGTGTGTGTTTACATCGTCAGTTGCGAGATGAACTGGAAGGCATTCGTAGATATTCCGACACCTGTAGCCGGGCTCTTTGTTTTCTAAGTGCATACAATCAAGATACACAAAATAAACACGTCATCCACGTATACATACTACTACACTCGAATCTTTCACATAAGTGCCACACGATTAGAAAGTGATTCTCCCACATTACTATGATTCTAATAACTTCGATTGAACGTACACTGCATCAAAAATCGCCGAACCAAGCCCAAGTGTTGTTTACCAGTGATTTGATACCTCAAAGGCTTAGATCGTCCATTATAGGTACTTATAAAATATTTGGAAAAATGGGAACCGTAACGCGCACACAATTGCTTTATGCAACCGTGCAGCTATTTTTGTTATTGATTCAAGAGCCAGTTTAATATTAAAGAAACACCTTATTTCTTTGACTTTCTCATTCGTGCAATTTTCCGTATGCGATCCTAGTCTTCAATTGGGCACTTGTTTTAAATTTACTTTTTACATGAAACTAGACGTACTTTATTAATACCTATACCGAATTTTTTCTTACTTTTGGGAGTATAAACACGGACTTTCAAAACTTACAACTTCGTCTAGCTTTCAATGAATGCTACTCTATTTTCGTTTTTGAAAAATCAACTCTTTAGTAAAACCGGGGGCCATCTTATTGCTGAATTGAGGAAATTGGATAGTCTACTATTCGAAATTCGGATTTATTTCAATCCTCCTATTCTAATATAGAAAAGACATTTATTATTGTTATTATTATTTATTAATATGTAAGTTACTCGAATATTCCAAGTTATTCAAAGGTGCGAACTATTCGGAACCAGACTTATTTATACCGCAGATCCTAAATTCTAGACCACTATTTTTTAACCATTAGGACCTCAAGTATAACATAAATTATTGTGTCATAATCCATCTGCCTTAATAGTCCAGTCAAATTAGCTCTAAAAGTAGTATAAACTGGATGTTGTCATTTCACTGAACGAAACCAAGCGTATTCTATGTAGAAAAATCCGCTGAATCGGAAAATCATAGTCCCCCGGCCGGAAACGCCCGGAACATATTGTTATAAACAAAAAACGAAGAAAAAATGGGGAAATGTCGTGTTTTTTCACATTTGACTGCCAATATCTCGTTAACTATTGCTCTGAGGGAAAAAATGATTAGAAATGAACTTGTTTAGAATAAAATTTTCTGTCCGGAACGCTCATTTTCAACTGTTATTGTTTTTTAGGAAAAAATGTAAAAACAGTAATCTCTAAAATTAACACTTTGTTATTACTAAGTAAAATTCATTCGATCTTTTTGAAAATCCGTATTTAGTAACTACTTTTGATAACAAATCAATATGATTAAAACTCATCCGCTAAATAAATTAATTCACATGCAAGTCGTAAGTATCGCACAGGGACAATATAGGCTGACGTTCAACAAATTAGAGAGACACCGAAATTTGGCAAACCCCAGCGCCGATGCGTTGAGCCCGTCACCCCTAAGCCACCCCTACGTTGGGTAAACTCTACATTTTTTGGAATTTTTCTGAATAAATCCAAATAGTAGAGACGCAGAATCGAAAAAAATGAAATTTCGTTCACTCCCTCCTACAAAGCAATCAGCGGTTTTAAGCGACTGGCTCTATGGCAGTCAGGGAGCACTACTAGGGCGGTAATCACTCTAGATGCGTGGGGCACCATGACGTTATGATAGCCGTGCAATTTTATTAAGATGCAATTTTTAGGAAAACCACCCGACGGATTTTGATGGAATTTTTTTATTCTAAAGGTACTTCAATTTTCCATTAAAAAGGTTGAATTCATCTTTTCAAATAATATTCCTTATAGTTTTTGTGTTATAAACAAAAAACCGCAAAAAGTTGTAATTAATTAAAATTAAATTGTATCTTGCGAACGACGATTTATGCACAAATCGGATGAATTTGGTACGGTTCAAATTCAAAACAATGCTTGTAACAGGGTGTCAATTTCAAAACTTATGCAGTCGGCCATATTTTCCAAACTAAAGAAGATATTGAAAATCGCGCAAAACCGTTTCGGGGGTAGCGAGGGGCAACCAGAATGACGTTATGAGTGACAACCCCCTCTTAACCCCCCCAGCCTCCCCTCTTCAAAAATCCTAAATGGCAACCCCATACTTCCAGTGTCACCAATAAAGTCAATAGTCATTAAGACAATTTAATCAAAATTTAATAATTAACAAAAAAACTAAATGTTGACATTGAGGGATTTATGGCAAATTGGCCAAGAACTTCAACCTGAGCTGCTTCAATTTAGCATTCATGGTTGCTTTCTTTTTTTATTGATAACAGATCCCGTTTCTTCGAAGTTAGCGACCAAATCTTGAACATAGGCATGGCCAACTGCAAGTTTTAAAATTGACACCCTGTATGTACAGGGTGGCGCAATGGGTATTGATGGTTTTAGGAGTGCTATACTAATTAAATGACTAAGGTCAGAAACATATATTTTTATTACACATATAATGCAGTTTTACAACAAATTTTATTTTTTAAAAACAATGTCTTTTAAGTGGCCACCACGTTTGTCTAAACATTCCTGTAGTCGTGAATGAAAAAAAACTCTCTGTAACTCGTAGCAGCATCGTCTGCTTTATGGCTCTGATTTCGCGACTAATGTTGCCTTTTACAGTTTCTAGCGTTTGAGGTCTATTTTCAAAAACCCTAGCCTTCAAATATCCCCATAAGAAAAAGTCAGGGCTGGTTAAATCTGGTTCGCGCCGAAACTGTCACTGGACCTCAATAACAGACTCCGATCGGTGATACGCTCTAACGCAAAAACTGCGTTGATTTACTGGCGAGTTAACCATGGCTACTAAAATGCATTACATGAGGAATATTTTAAGCGGCTGATTACCCCCTGCACTTTACTCATATTCGGACAGTGGCGTCTCAGAAATCGTCAATACCCATTGCGCCACCCTGTATAAACAATCGTGACAATTACTAGTACCTACCTTTCTTCCAGAGAATAACTGGTCTTTTTATATATCAATGTAACGAAAATTTAGGCGAGAATAATTTTATTAAGTTCATTTCTATTTACTTTATCTACTAAAATGTAAATTTTTCAGGAAGCAAATTATACCAAAAAGTAGGCATCTAGTACACAAATTTGGCAATTTCTTGTTTATAACATAAAAACTATGAGGTATATTGTAAAGAGAAATTCAACCTTTTTAATAGCAAATTGAAGTACCTTTATAATAAAAAAAATTTCATCAATGTCCGTCGGGTGGTTTTCCTATAAATTGAATTTTAATAAATTTGCACAGCCGTCATCTTTATGGCGTCATAACGTCATGACACTCATGACGCCCCACGCATCTAGAGTGATCACCGCCCTAGTAATGCCACCTAATGGTCTTAGAATCGTTTAAAACTGGTAATTACTTTTTAAGAGAGGGGGTGAACCAAATTCGTACTTTGTCATGTCATGATCTGCGTCTCTACTAAAAACTAAGCATTTTAAGAAAAAATATCAAAAGAGGACATTTCCTATAGGTATGTATCAAAATTTTTAAATGTTTATTGGCGCAGATTCTACAACTCATTCAACTACAGCATTTTCTAATATTGGGGACAACCCCATTTTTTTATCGGTACCCACTTCCGACGTCCCGTTCGTCAGCAATTCGCATTTTGGTGGCTTTCGCTAAAATCATCCGCAAAATAGTACTCAATTTTTGGAGAACTTCTCATAGTTGAGCTTCTATTGGCGACACGAGAAAGAGAAACCGTATTTTGGGCTTTAGGAAACCTTAAACCGCGTGACAAAATTCACAAGGGAAGGCAACTTTTGGGCGGTCGAAGTCGACTACCCCTCGAAGGGGGTCCACGAAGTGTTACGGGGAACTCTAAGCAACCACCCCCACTCCAATCGTGGGCGTCTCGACTTTTCCGGCACCTCATTCTCGGTTTAGTTCGTACATGCAGTCGATGTTACTGTGAAGAGTCAATATACTCCAAACTCCTTCTTTTTGTCGCATTTTTGCAAATTTATTTGTAAAAAGGTAGCTTTTAATTTCACTTTGGGCGGCTGGCTGCCAGCAAATGCGGACCCGTAAAAGAACGCTTGTGGAAAGACGAGGAGTGTACATCTACCTATCGGCGACATCTGGGTGCCATCCCCGAGTGTGTTATACTAACGTGGTGATTTTTCAGTTTTTTCCTATCTTCGTCTATAATTTGGGTCCGATTGTTTTCAAATTGGTGTAATCTTGTAAACGTGCCCAACTCCTGCGTGACGGAATGTTGTCGAATTTTCAAAAACTAATTTCATATTCGTGATTTTCATGTTCGAAAACCAAATTTCATTGAAATCAGATTAATTTTTCGCACCTCTATTTAAGGTTTCGCCATTTTGTAGTAGTAATTTTGAACATTTTTTTGCAAAATCGAAATGGACATACCCGAAAATCTATTCAAAGTCGTGCCCCCACCGTTCTAAGTCATGGTTGCTGATAAAAAATTAAAGAAGAAATGCAAATTTCACCATTTCTTTGGGGGTGGCTCCTAAACGAAACACGTTGG